TACTAACCTTCCTCTGGGGGGCAATTTTATCCTCACTCTTACGGCCCCCACAGACCTGCTTGGGTGCCCACCAGAGGGTTTCCTGACCAAAGTTCATGGACGATGTAATTTAAGTAAAAGGCCCGTTTATGCTCTGTGCTGTTCAGAGTTAAGTGATAGGAAAACCTGAGCTTGTGTGCAAGGGCAGAAGGCAAGTGCATGTGTTTTCCACCCCTGCTTTGGAAGGAAATAGCACAAGGACTGTCTAGACGGATGCTGATTCTAAACACTGCACAGCTAACAGAGAGAGTGAAGAGTCATGCTGGGAAGGATTCCCTGGCTTGCTGGTTTAGGTGTCACACCCAGTGGCTTCAGGGTAGAATCACACCTCCACCTGTGTACGTGTGTGTTTGCATAAACGTCATATTGTCGTCTGAAGATCTCAAAGAGTTAAACATCAGTCATGTTAAAACCTATTGCATTTGTACTACTCGGTGCCCTACTTTGTATTCCCCAGTGGGTCTGTTGATTTTCCTGTGAGATGATTTTGGATATATCCAAAAGCACACTTGGAGTGATTAGGACACTTTTAGGATTTATCCTATTAGCATCAAGCTTCTGGTAATATGTACCCTTTCCTAAAACCATCCTGCCTTATTAAATCCTGATACTACCCAATGAAATATGAGGACAAGGATATGGTGTTCAGACAGAGACACTGGCTTCCAAATTTATAACAGACTCTGTGGGGTTTGTATCCTCAAATTGCCTGCCGTGTAAAATTTTTGGCTTCTTAGGGCAAGATATACTCATGGAAAGGGATAATCGTTTAAATTTTAAATTAAAAAAAATTTAAATCATTCCATTTTTATTCTTATCTGTTTCTCGGACTGATTTGTATTATTGCAAGCAATTGGCAAAATAGTAAGTTACAAATAACGAATAGTAAAAAATACAGTATGCTTTATCAACTCACATGTGGTTTGAGAGCATGGTGATTTAATCCTGAGTGGCACCCTGTATTTGAAGGCACGTGTACCCCACACCTTCCTGGGGGCCTGATGGTTCATGTCTGACTCTATTGAAAAAAACTGTAAAACATGCACTTATATTGTATTTACTCTCCTACTCATAAAACTCTGTAAAAGAAGGGGTTTTTGAGTATTTCATTTTACTGACTTAGTCACATAATAAGCACTCAATAAATAAAATAATGAATTGAAAGAATGAATGGATGGATACAATTCATCAGGTCTGCACAAGCTAACAATCAACAGGGATGTACTAATAATTTGCACAAAAGCTTTAGTGAAGCTTGATACTGAGACTGGTAAAGAATTTGGATCCCTTTACTTTACTAAAATATAAATTTAGGAGGCTGAGAAATATTGAGGGATATCGCTAACAAAATGTGCTTCCCACCTCCATATGCCTCCGTGCCTTTCCCTGGCCAATCCTCCTCTGGATGTTTGACTTGGCTAGTTCCTCATCACACATTCTGAGTTCAGATAGAATCTAGGAAGTCTTCTTTGAAGCCCCGTATGTTATAGTTAAATGCTATAACTGTTGTAATGTGTTATTTTAGGAATAATAATAAGGAAAAAAAGAAAGGTTGGTACATGTTTGGAAAAGATGCAAGTTTTTTTGTTGTTGTTGTTCTGTATTTTTTTGGGCCATGGATAGGTGCTCCCACAGAACTGTGTCTTTACCACAGTATGAAGTCATACTGGAGTGTGCAGGTGTAGTCGTCTTGTTCTGTCAGTAGGCTGTGCTCTATAGGCAGGGGTCAGAGTGTTTTTGTCTTTTTGTTATTTAAATAAGGACAGAGTAAAGAGGAAGAGGTCCTAAGAAGAGAAGGGAGGCAGAATAGAAAGAAGAGGAATCAAAGGTGATCAAAGGGTGTATCTTGCTTCTCATTTTAATCAAGAAAGAGCATCTAGCCAGTGAAAGGATTTGGGTATTACATAGGTTTCAGAGACAGGTCTATTAAATCAATGAATTCACGTCTGCACTCCAGGCTCTGTGAGAGACTGGGAGGGTGCCACAGTGAGCAGGAAATGATGTCATTATCCTTACAGAGCTTGTATTTTAACAGACAGTGAGCAAGTACGATACAACATACACACCAAAGATATGGCTGTAAAATGTAAAAGAAAATATATGTACATTATAAAACATAGGAATTCTATACGTATATACTATAACATAGAACTTGGGGATGTTTAAAGGGGAATCAGTGCGAGGAGTTTCAAGAACTGTTCAAAAAAGCTCTGAATTCTTTCCTTGTAAAATGCTAGATTCATTATCCCAGAAAGGGAAATACAAATTGGATCTCTCCATGAGGGACATTTATGACTTACACATGTTCATCAATCCTCACAGAATGCAGAAGGTGCAACTTGTGTAGACCTTAAGGATTTTCCTCTCCCAGTTGTGTGTGCAAGCATAGAACCCCAAAGAGAGATTTAGCAGTTTGGACAGCTCCCAGTGCACAGAGCTCCGTCAAGTACATCTGGGCAAGATCCCAATGTCTCAGCTGAAAAGAAGGATGAAAAGGATTTGAGAGCCTAAAAACCAAGTACAGTTATCCCTCAGAATCCAAGGGGGATTGGTTCCAGAATCTTCTCCCACATACCAAGATCCATGGATGCTCAGGTCCTTCAGGTAAAATGTGTAGTACTTCCGTGGAACCTCTACACAGCCTCCCGTATACTTTCAATCATCACTAGATTTTTTTTTTAAATACCGAATACAAATAAGTACTATGTAAATTGATGTATTATTCAGGCAATAATGACAAGAAAAGGAACACTTACACATGTTCAGCCCAGATGCAAGATTTCGTTCTAAATATTTTTAAAAAAACAATTTGTTTTAAATTTTTTAATTTGTTCTAATTCGTTATACATGACAACAGAACAACAGAATGCATTTTGACACATTGTGCATGAATAGAACACAACTTCTTCCTCTGTCTGTACATGGTGCGGAGTCATACTGGTGGTGTAATCATACATGTATATAGAGTAATAATATCTGTCTCATTCCACTGTCCTTCCCCTCCCCTCACTCCCCTTTGCACTATCCAAAGTTCCTTCATACTTTCCCATCCCCCCCCACCCTAATTTTGGATCAGCACCGGCTTATCAGAGAAAACATTAGGCCTGTGGATTTTGGTTGAGTCCACAGGTACAGAATCTATAAATACAGAGAACTGACTATACAATTTTTGAAACTTTTAGTTAAGAATGACTTAACTTGGGCTGGGTTGTGGCTCAGTGGTACAGCACTTGTCTAGCGTGAGCGAGGCACTGGGTTCAATTCTCAGCACCACATCTAAATAAGTGAATAAAACAAAGGTCCATCAACATCTAAAAAAGAAATTTTAAAAAGAGAAAGACTTGACTTTATCTCACTTTCCAGAGTCTTGGTTATCTTGGTATTATTTGCTGGTCAGTATTTTAGTGGGCAAAGAATTTGAGCTTTGTATTGAATTGGGGAAACTTCCAGCATACGGATACCAGCAGATGACTGAGACTGAGATGCCAATATAATAAAGACTGTACACCCATCTCTGCTTTGTTAGAGGTGAATTATTTTCCCAGCATATGGAAGAGTAGACTTAGAGCATCACAGTGCTCTGTGGCAGAAGAAAACACACACACACACACACACACACACACACACACACATTTACAGCAAATGAGGTAGAATGGCTCAGATTACATACCACCAAGATTCACACCAGCCTAATAGTTGTTGACAGATAAAGTAACAAAAGTGAAACTCATTTATTTTTTTTCTTTACTGAAAAGTCAAAGTAAAGCAGATTTTCAGTTCTCATAATACTGTATCGACAGAACAGAGATTCACGGCAAAAATGTGCTAGTCCTGAAGTAGACATTAAAGTTAGGCTCATGTCAAATTTACCCTTGACCTTGGAAAAGGAGCTGCTGTTCAGTTTAATTTGATCCTAAAATAAATATACTTGGTACACCGCCCTGTACCTGGTGCGTATTCATCTTTCACTGTGAACCTCATTCTCAAAGTTTGCCGTTTTCTTTCTACGGGCTTTATTTTGCAGTGTTGAAGGCCACTGGAATTATTGTCAGAGTGGATTACGTTTCGCGGAATGCAAATTAGTAGCAACAGACATATACATTTCAGTCTGCAGGAAGAATGAAAGTAGATTTAGAAAATTGATAGCAGACCTTTCTCTCTCTGACAAAGTCAAACCTGATGCTACGGTTTGGCTATTGAGATCAGGAGGGAGTGAATGGAAATGTGAAGTGAGAAATTTGGGGTGGTGGTGTTGAGATTGCTGATGTGTGGTGAGTATAACTCCTGACTAAATCATTTGTACCTCCCCTTCATGTTCCTTAAGTTGACATTAACGAGACCTGAAACAGGCCTCTCTTTTTTCTTTTTCTTTGCCTCTCTCTCTCCTTTTCTCCCTCCTCTACCCACTCACCCTTCCATCTACCCTCCCTTCCTTCCTTCCCTCCATTTTATTTATTCTCTTTTTTTTTTTCTCCCAACCATCAACATGGAAATTTTGTTACTGGTTCTAACAATGATCACACTAGTAAGATGGCTACAGAATTGTGGCCACATAACATGTGAAATACCAGTCCATAAACAGAATCATGAGTGGACTCTACATAAAATTATAATCTTCCAAAAGTCCATTTCTTGAGTATATCCTAAAAATAATTTAGCTGAAGTTTATTATTATTATTATTATTCTAAAGTCTGCATTTGGTCATTTTCTCATTAACTTTTTAGCAACGGAAAGATAGCGTGAACTTGTTTCTTGAATTACCTTTTCTGACCTTTTGCAAGATGATAATTATAAAAAAAAAAAAAAAAAAGAGAGAGGCCTGGAAAACTTGTAAAAAAAAAAAATTAAGCTTGTAAAGTTGCTAAAATGGTCCTTCTGTGCTGGTGTCGATTTCAAAATTAACATTTTGGTTCATGTGCTTCTAATAATCACTGACCCTTACCTCATGTACTTTCCACAGGAAATGAATACGGCAGAAATTACTTTGACCCACTGATGGATGAGGAAATAAACCCAAGGCAGTGTGGGATGGAGGTCAGCAGAGAGGGTGAGCTAGAATTAAGTATGTAATTTTTGTGCCAGAATATTCTTTTCCATTCATGAAAATGAGGTGACAGAGATCACACATGCAGTTCCATTTAGATTTTTTTTTGCAGCTTACAATTTAAGTGGTAAGTTTTAACCACTGACGACATGATGGGCAGCGAAGGTAATTTTTGATCAAGGACAGCAAGCTGGTCAGATGAAAGAAGCAGCAATCTGCTTTCATCTTAGGCTACTGTGAGTAGTCCGGTGCCGTTAGAAGGCCCGCATAATGCATCCAAGGGACAGCATCCCTGTGCCAACGCCTTTCTGCTCTCTGAATTTAAAATGAGCATTCTGTGGCAGGGTGCACCTGGCACATGAGATTTCCATACCCTGCAACTCTTCCCCTCACTGAATGCTTGAAATCACCACCTAACTTTTGAACTACAGAGGTGCAGAGGTGTGATGATTTCCCCTTGTGCAATCTGAAATCTAGTTGTAGTTATACATTAACAATTCCAAATAGCTCTGCAGGTGCATACCACTCTACAGTTCTCTAGTTTTTAAAGCACTCTAAGGTTTCCAAAAATAATTGATGAAATGATGACAGTCACAAAGTTCATGAGAGTCATTCACAATCCAGAACATGATATATATAGATATTTTTTAACTAGGAACCAGTCATTAAATCTGTACTTCTTTATGGAAAGATTGAGCTAAATTCTCACAAATAAAAGAATTGAAATATAGTGCGAAGATTATGTTATGAGATAGCTGTCAATAAACAAATTTATTTTTAAATGATGCAGAGGCCACAGATTTTGCCAAAAGCTGCATATACAAGATGAAATGAGAGTCTTGGCGTCAGTTTTTGCCAATAGTTGAAAACTAAAGGTGGATTTGAAAATAGAGAATCTCAACCTCATATTTGTCCAAACACATTTGAGGAGTGAGAGACATCCCTGTGACTTTGGGGGTGGGGTGAGGTTTCAACTGAATTAACAGTTGAAGTCTGTTTTAAATCTCCTAGAGATCACAATATAGAGATATATTTGGTGGAACTTTTGTAAAGCAAGAGCTCCCTAATTTAGGGAAAACAGTAAGATGTGTTGAATGGCAGTCAGGTAAGTCTCATAAGACAAAATACAATTTGAGTATCCCTTATTCCAAAATGCTAGAGATCAAAAGTATTTTGAATTTCAGATTATTTTTTCCAGATTTTGGAATATTTACATATACCTCATGAGATAGATTGTGGAGAGGACCCAGTCTAAACATGGAATCCACTTATGCTTCATATATACTCTATACACGTAGCCTGAAAGTAATTTATACAATTTGCACATGGAAGTCTCATGGTATGGGATTTTCCACTTGGACATCCAAACCTATGGAACATTTACAATTTGGGATTTTTGGATTAGGGATGCTCAGTTTGAATTGTTGGTCACTGTATCCCCTTCTTACACCACATAGATTGCCAACTCTTGTTGTATGTGATCATCATCACCTAGAGTGTCATTATGCAGGTGTGGCTGTATTTTCCCACCTTCTATCTGGTGCCTTCCATTTGCTCACCATGTTCTAGCCACACTGTCTTCTCTTTGTTCTTCCTATGCATGGAGCTCCCTTTCCTTTTCCAGAAACCTATGTGCTGGGACAGCCTCCTTCCTGCCTCCTCTGCTCAATATCCTGTCTTCTCAAAGGCTTATCTGAAATGTCAGTTCTCAACTCCCTTGACCATCACGTGATTTCCACTCTACACCTCTTTTAGAGAGCTTATACAAGGGTCAGCAAGCTTTGTATTGGCACAATTACCTGTAAAATGTGTTTCTTCTCTGCTAAACTACCTGCTGGATGCACACAGGGCACAGACAATGTCTACTTTGTTCATCAGTGAATTCTTAGAGCCTAGCTCAGCCTGGAGCATGCGCTTGGTAAATATTTGTTGAACTAGTGAATAAGTCAATAAATTTAACTTGGCTTCATGTCTGACGTGTATCAGGTCTTCTGTAACCTTAGTGATTATTACTCTCTGATTGCTCAGGCACTGTCTTGGGCTGGATATAGTAAGTGACGGACCAACACAAACCCTCAAAGTGGACACCATTATTCTTATTTTTAAGATGGAGAAATAAATCCTGTGATATTTAGTATCTTTCCTAAAATCACAGGGACCTGAAAAGTGTGGTTTGGAATTCAGATTCTTACCTATCTTGGACATAGTTGTCTTTTCCCTAGGAGATGTGCTTAACTTTTGAAGGAGGGGGAGAAGGTCAATCAGAACTGGTGAATCTGAATTTGAAGGTGTCATGGTCTTGCTTTTACTGTTAGGTAACCCCTCTGATGCTCTAGGAATGAGTGTCATTGGGGCACCATTCATAGGGGGCTGCTACCCAGCTGGGCTACTTGGAAAACCAGAAACTTGACAGTAATTGTGGGTTCTGTTCCACTTATTTGGGTCACCCAAAAGTTGTTTATCACTGTCAGTTCATGAAGACAAAAATATTGGTTCAGGATGACAGAAGCCGAACTATTGAAAAATTCTGCACTTGTACGATTACTAAATAGTTAACAACAAACAAGCAAATAAATGAGCAAATCAATGGAGGTGCTGCCCCTTGTGGAATGTCTATCATTTGTCAGGCCTGGGTGTCATGCTTGTTATCTTGGTAACCTTCACAACCATCCTATTGCATGGGGCAAGATTAAAGCTGAGAGACTCTAACAAACTTTCCTAGGTTTATAGAGCTACATAGTGGTGCAGAGATCTGGATGCAGGTTTGACCTTTACCAAACGAGGCTTGTGAAGATGGAGTCTCTCGGTTAATCCCACTGGGATTTTTACCATTTCTGCAGAGAGTTCCTCCTCTTTGTTTCTGAGGTTGCTCCTTGTTAACTTCAGAATGAGAACCTTTTTATGAGCAATACATAAACTTTGTAAGTTTTGTATCCCACTAAGAGTTACAAAGGCTCAGGTGATGCTGGAATAGAAGCAGCTTTTCTACTGCACAATGTAATCCAGGATGGCCCCTCTCCCTCTCCCCCAGTGCTGGAGGTGGTAGGAGGTCTCTAATGGCTCTTGGCAAGAGGACGATGTATAGATCAATGGGCACTTGAAAAGGCCATATAGAGCAGACAGTGACTGAAGCTGCTGACTTCAGAGGTGTTCGTATGTCACACTTTCACACAGTGTCACACTGCTGTCCCAGTAGTAACCTCAGCCTTCCAGTCTTGTGTCCCAGTCTCCGTGCATAGACTAGAGTGGATCCCAGAGGGCGCTTCTAGAATACTTGACCAAGTTTTAGATGTAAGTTGCAGAATTAACTACCATCATCAGTATTGGCCTACACGTAACAGATAAGAGAAATTCACAAGCCGTATTTAAAGGAGCATAATGAAAGGGCAAGCACAGTTCAGTTGCTTACCTGGGAAGGGAAACATGTTGGGTGATTGATGTACGTATTGGTGTTCTAATTCTGAGACTGGGATGGTTATGCAACTCACATTGTTTGTTTGGTTGTATCTAGAGGTCTAAATTAATATCTATATGACTTTTTTTTTTCCTGTGCTAGAGATTGAACTCAGGACCTCGAGCATACAAGGCAAGTTCTCGATTGAGCTATACCTCTAGCTTTCAACAAACTTTAAAATCTTCTTCTGGATCTATAATTTTATAATGAGGTTTTTGTTTTATTATTGTTTGCAGGGGGTAGATACTATCATGGCTTGTTGCTTTAAATTCACAAAAGAACTAAGTATCCTGGATTCTTTTTGTATATGCTATTGCAAGACAATTACATATATAAAAGAATACAAGACCACCAAAGTTTGTTGTTTCTTACATATACATAGTAAAATGTATACTGTATAGAGAGTGGCTAATGAAAAACATAACATTTACTTTGATCAAACATTTAGATATTCTATTGTACGATTTGACAAACCATAATGACTTGTTCAGAAATGATTCTTGAGTAATAGATGTCATAATCCATTGAATATGAGTTTCATTTTATTGGAGAAGTATTCTATTATACACGCTTGGCAATATACATTTAAAAATCATTGTTCCAATTACCATCAATTTACAAAAGATTCTTTTTCAGAACAAGGGAGCATATTGAGTAGAATTTGAGTCTATGACCCATGGAATGACTAAATAGCCATGATGATTAATAATTTATTTTTGTAATTACATCTGCATATCTATAAATTAGCTGATGAGAAAGTTATCACATCTATGTTCTTTTAACACCCCTACAAGGTGATGAGAGAACTCTCTATAATCGATTAATGGAACTGTTTGATGACAGTGGACAAAGAGAATTCCAAGGTAAGAGACCAATTATTTTTAATCTTTTATATTAATATTAGCTGTAAATTGATTGACATGGTTACTTACAAATGCTAACCTGTCTTTTCTATATTTAACAGTTCAGTGATGATCTGTCTGTGCTTTTGATGGTTACAAATATTCAAATGAAGTTAAAGTTTTGGGGAAAATTAATTATGATGCAATTTCCTACAATTGCATGCAATTTGTAAGCCCAAATGGCAAAAATGATTTAAGACTTACTATTGCAGGATCCTATAGGGGAATGTGCATATTTGGAGTCACTAATTTATGAAGCTATATGATGTTCTTTGGAAAGACTCTGTCTTTGCTTTTAAACAGGTGCTATAGAGTGATGGGAGGTAAATAGTGTATTGTTCCCAACCTTAGAGGGGAATTCATATTTCTAAATGTTAGGTTCTTCATGATTATTATATGTATTCAACTAGAAATATAAAGGTCACTCTTTAAAAACTAAGTTTTAAATCCTTATTTTAACACACATAAATTTGTGTCAGATCCTATAGTGTAAGTTTTTAAACAAAGAAAGCATTGAGTGAAAGTTGCCCTCTATGCATGGGGTTGAATTCATGGAGAATGCTTCTATTTTTTTCACAGTGTGTGCTTAGTTCTCAGGAATCATTTGTTCTTCCTCATTAAAAAACTTCTTAAAGCCCATAAGAGAAGGGGCTGGTTGTGATTAATGCTATAATATTTATCGGTGCTTAACTCTGTTGACTTTATGCTTGGGATTCATCATTTACTAGCTGTGTGACCTCGAATCAATTTATTAAGCTTTCTTTTCCTTTTCTGCCAAATGGACATATAATCCCTGCCACATGGAGTAGCTGTGAAGATTAAAATATTAATTAATACCTGAGCAGATTTGAAAACCACACACCTAGAATAATAAAGTTGCTGTCAATGACGATGATGAAAATGTCAATATTAGTTAAATATTTGAGTGCTTTCTAAGTGCCTGGCACTCTCTTAAACACTGTTGGAAATACAGTAAATAGTAACTTAATTTAAACCTCATAACAACTCTATAGATTCATCCCTGTTTATAGAATACTAACCTCCCTGAATTTGATTCCTGCCTGGGTATACCTTCCCTTTTCCGGTACAAATTTGTATAGCTTGTCTTTTATTTCTTTCCACATGAATAAATGAAGCGAACTCAATTTTTAAGCCAGCTTTATATATATTTTGAGGGATTCCAAATTCAAATGGTATACTAAGATCTTCTAGAGAAGCAGATATAGTAGAATTCAGGGCGGGGGGATGGGGTTGTTTATAAAAATTGATTCACACACAGTGGGGACTGGCAAGTCTCTAAGTCTTAGGGAAGACTGGCATCCTGGAGCATCAGGAAGTGTTGATACTGCTGTCTTTAGACCAAAATCTGCAAGGCAGCCCAGCAGATTGGAAACTCAAGCAGGGTTTCCACACTATGGTCTGGAAACCAAATTCCTGCTTCTTTAGGAAGCCTCAGTCTTTAATTTCAGACCCTCAACTGACTGACTGAGGCTCACATATATTATGAAAAGCAATCTGCTTTATTCAGAGTCTACTGGTTTAAATATTGATCACATCTAAAATATGTCTTCACGCTCGCATGTGATCTGGTGTCTACCAAACAACTGGGCATGATAGCCTGGTCAAGCTGGAACTTAAAGCATCACAAATAGTTCTGCAGAAGCCAGCGCTCTTATGGTTCGTGTCCTTTCTGAGTCAGCGAATGTATGTGGATTGCCTTATTGTGCTGGACGTTCAGTTGGGAACTTTTATGCCTAGTTTTTCCTTTCCATACTGACAGCTCTTTCTGCTTGGATCCTTTGAAACCGCCCAAGTCATGTATTTATCAATTGTAATGATAAGTCTTCTAAAAACCATTTAGGGATATACAGAAGTCTTATAGAATTGACAGGATAGTCAGGCATTTGATCAACTGTAAGAGAATTTACCTGATCTTAGAAAGCTTAAAGACATAAACAAGGTAATACAGTGTCTCAGTGGGCACTGAAGGCCACCAGCCATCCTCTGAAACTACTGCCCAGGGTCTGGCCTGTACCCAGCCTATCTCCTTCCTATTAGAGAAGCTCCATTCCACTGCTTCTTATTAAATTCTAGCATCAGAGACATGGAAACTTTCATAGTACATCTTTAAGCACTTTTTTAGAGACTGAAAGATATTTTATATTTTCAGGAGGTATGTGGCTAAGTGAATAATACCTTCATAGGTGATATTGTTTTGAGGTGATTGGTAAAGCACACATACCATTTTATAACTGCTGGCATTTCCATGCACATAAACAAGGTGGACCAAATAAAGCTGCTCTATGTGTGCAGAGCTCAGGAGCCATTTGGGGGGCAGATCTTAACTTGAGGAAATGATTCAAAGAGCTTTGGCTTCTCCTAAACCTATTCATCTCCCAAACTGGTTTCAGCATCCCAGCAAATAGGTGGTAAGATGTTGAAGTAAACAACATGTAATATTAATGCACAGTAAAGCACAGTATGCACCCTGCAGGATTTATCTGGTAAGTAGGAAAAAGGCTTTAATGCATAAATATACTTTATAAACATCATGAGATGAATGAAGTTTGTTGTTTTTTTTTTAATCTTAAAAATATCTCGTGTTTAATGTTTATTCTTAGTACATTAAATAGAAAATAATTTGCCAAGTTATAGCTTCTTAAAAAAAAAATCAAAGTTTCTCCAGTTGGGCATGGTGGCGCACGCCTGTAAATCCCAGCAGCTTGGGAAGCTGAAGCAGGAGGATCACAAGTTCAAAGCCAGCCTTAACAACTTAGTGAGGCCTTCAGCAACTCAGTGAGGCCCTGTCTCTAAATAAAATACAAAATAGGGCTGGGGATGTGGCTCAGTGGTTGAATGCTCCTGGGTTCCATCCCTGGTATCCAAAAAAAAAAAAAAATTTACTCCAGACAAGAAGTAAAGCAGGTGGCAGACTGTGTGCTTGGTCAACATTCAAGTGATGCAGGCAGGTGACATTCCTCATCATCTTCTTGGGTGAACAGATGAGATCAACCATGAGGACACATGGGATTCTGAGGCACCCACGAGTTCCAGGAAGAGTCATGGACTCCACAAAGAGGCCGATGAAACCACCCCTGCTTACGTCGAAGAGTTTGAAAGACGTGCTCGGGAAGACATTGTTCTGCTTGGAAGTTCTTCTTCAGGGCAGGTCAGCAGTAAACACACGAAAAATGTCAGATGATATCTTTATTAAAACAACGTATTGAAATGTCAAGGCTTCAGGTCTTGTCTCACTCCCCTTTCTGCCTCTCGCATATTCATTCTGGAACACAGGCTCTGCGACTTCTGCAAGACTTTTTCTTTCTTTCTTATACATACTTTCCCAGGCGGAAGTTATACTCCTTATCAATACCTGCCCTGGCCCTTGCAGACTTTAGCTCTACTTCATCTGGTTTTATTTTGTGTAACAGCACTCATTTCCAGCAGGCTATAAAAATATCTATAATAAAATCTGAAACCAGCATAAATTTATTTGGATAAAATCAGGAGAGACTGCTTGGACAAGCAATATAGTACCATGTGAATATTCTAGTACTTATAAAACCACCCGGAAGGGACTTAGCTTGGATATTCTTGTAGTCATGACTTCACAGAGAGGCACCTGTTTTGATTTCTGTTTATGTGTAACATTGCATCCTGATAGGCTTTAGCCCAACAAGGACACGTGTCTCTTCTATGGAGTTACCTTATCTATCTCAAATAAACACACGAGAATCACGCAGCTGTATCTCCAGGGGCATGCACATGTAAGTTGTTTCTTATGAATGTTTGCTGACTCAGGCCAAACGAGAAAAAATCACTAGGTGAAAAAAAAAAAAAACTGTTCTCAGTGATATTTTATATTATAACAGGTCACAGTTAGAAATATTTCTGACTCCAAAAGTGAGAGGAGTAGCTCGGTGGGAGTGGGCAGGTGGTGTTCTCTTAACTTGGAGTGTGGAAATTCCATAACTGTGTTGAATTCCTACCCTTGTGCCACTTAGATCTGAATATCATGGAAACATTAAGGTTATGTCTATTTTGAGCTTTCCTCACGTAAGTGACCCGAATTAGCAAGTACAGCCTTTTCTAACATTCCAGGAGTGGGCTGAATTGTGTCCTCCAAAAATACATTCAAATCCTAGCCCCTAGTACCCGTGAACGTGGCCTGGTTCGGAAATAGGGTCTTTGCAGATGCAATGAAGTTAGGATCTTCAGCTGAGATCACCCCGGATGTGGGGCAGGCCCTTGAAAGGAACTAGTGTCCTTTCAAGAGAAAGGAAGGATTTGAGACACAGACACACACACAAAGGGAAAGATCATGCAAAGGTGGAGGCTGAGATTGATGTGCTGCTTCCTCAAGCAAAGGAGTGCCTAGCATTTCTGGAAGCCAGGAGAGAGGCATGGAGTGGATTCTCTCCTAGATTCTCAGGAAGGACCCCTCACCCTGCCAACATCTTGGTTTCAGATCTCAGGTCACCAGAACAGTGAGAATTTCTGTCGTTTCAAGCTGCCAAGTTTGTGATCATTTTTAAAGCAGCCAGGCAACTGCAATGACTTGTAAGGCGGTGGATACCCATGAACTAGGTTTCCCCTCTTCTCAGATGCATCGACAATGCCTCATGCCTTTGTGAAGAGAGGACTCTCAAAGGACACTGAACTGAGAAAAAGGGCCAGTCTCTGCCTTTGCCTCTAACCCTCTCCTCCTTCATATCATAGAGTGCCATTTTGTGTGTGTTTCAATTTACCCTGTGCTTTCAAGAATGGGTATGTGGATTTCTTCAGGGTATGTGGCTGTTACGTTTTGTTTCCTCATTCTGTAAAAGACAAGTTGAGGGGCAGAACACCCACCAGCTCTGCTGCTGTGAGGCTGTTCCTGCAAAAGCTCCGCACAGTTTCTAGAGTCTGATAAGAAGAGAACTCAAGTCTGCATTTCCTCCATCTGTCAGTCCCAGGAAAGAGTCAATGCAATCACAGAATCCAAGCCTTTCACAAGTGTGATCCTTCTTCCCTTCTACCTGCTTCTGGCTGTGTCTTCTCCTAATGTATATGTCTTCAGTTATGTGAAAATCAACCTCATCTGACTGCCTAAATAATTGTGAGAGAAAGTATGTGCTGCTGTATGTGATGACCACATGGACAGGTTCCCATGGGGGAAGGAGGCTGAGCTTTGGAGTCAGACTTGGGACATGGCCTTGCCATTCACAGCATGTTCGATTGGAGGTGAGTCACTTAACGTCACTTAACGACCTTGGTTTCCTCATTTTTAACTTAGGGGGCATTAGATCTACTTCAGTGCTTGGCTCGGAGTCGGAGGTGAGTCATCCAAAACAAACAAACCAATCAATAATAGGGTGCACACACGAATATGACATAATGAATCCCACTATCGTGTAATGTATACTCATAAGGCACCAATAGAATCGTATAAAAAAGAATCTAGCACAAAGTAGAAGTTAATTAAATGCCAGGAACCATTATAGAGAGAAGATTCCAGGCCCACCCTCAGGCCAATGCTCTCCTGTTCCATGTATGGAAAAGTTCCTTAAACGTGCGAGGTGGCAATACAGGAAGGAAGCACATCAGATCAATATGTTTTAGCATATTGATTCTGTCTTTAGTTCTGGCATTATTGTGATCTTGGATCATTCTGTAAAATAGGGCTAAATAATTTGACCCTCTTATGGTTATGGGGAGATTAACGAAGTCCAAGTTCCTGGATGTCAATGATTTCCTTTTCTTGTGATTTATTTTCTATATTTCTTGGGCCCGTTGCCTAGTCTTACTTTTTATTGTTGGGATGATCTATTAATAATAAAAGATAAGGTGTTTACATAGAGATCCAGGTGGAGAAGTCCCGGTGGGAATGAGTGTGGTGGGGCAGGTTTCTTATCTGCAACTACTGATTTATATGATGACCAGGGTGACTGCTTTTCTTCCTAACATTTCAGGGCCTTATCTTGGTGATGCATGTGGGGTGACCAAAGAATAGAGATTGCAAAGAGAGGTGGGACACTTTACCATAAAATCGTTGGGGGAATGGTTTGGGAGTTGCTTGCTACAGAGAATATTACTTAAAAACTCGTCAGACTTAGAAATCCTGAAAGTGAATGTGCATCTTGCAGGAAAAGGAAAAAAAGAAACAAGAAAAAAGCTTCTCTGTGCATAGGGAAAGAACATTCTTCGCTAAGCCTCCCTATGATAGGACCCTTTATTTATTTCCAGAGTAGAACAGGCAGGAATGAAGGGTTTGCCTTCTTACTTTGCGAAAGCATTGTGTGTGTGTTGATGTGTGTGTGTGTGGGGGGGGGCGTGTGTGGGAATGCCTGTGTGTACATGGCTGTGTGTGTGAGTGTGTCTCTGTGTGTGGGTGTGTGTAGGGTTGCCTTGGTATTTGTTGGAGCAGGTAGTATTATAGAACTCAGTGGGACAGGAATCATTTCCTTCCCAAGGACCTGATGTGAAACTGATGAGAAAATTGCTTTTGGAGTCAATTTTTAGTTAGCAGGGGTGTCAGAGATATCGTCAGTAATATAATTGGATGAAGTCTCATGATGAAGGTAGGGTCTGAAAGCCCATAAAATCTGTTCCTTTTTTTTTTTTTTGACCATTTTTAGTCCACAAGGGACAGACTGGCTCTGTAATCATCTTGGGAAGGTATTATAGTTGATGTTTCACGTCTAAGGCATTTGAGGTAACAGGGCATCTCAGTGCATGATCAAATTAGTAGAGACAAAATGGAGACCAAGGATGGATGGATTTTGGGAGAAGTAGAGAGCAGAGACTCTTGGGGCCAGGTGGCCCACATTTCAAGGTTCGTGCAAATGATGAAACATTATTTTTATTGTTATCACAGGACTATTTAGTTAATCTAAGTATACAAAGCCACTTTAAAATGTATGTTCTGAGTTTTTACTCCCTCTGAGAATGAGAAGTTCCTAGAAAAGACATTATGAAAAAACTTAGGTCTAAGAATTATCCAGTGTAGAATAAAACTAATCAATTAAGAGCATAGTTTTTACAAGTTTAGTCTCAGAGGAAATCTGGAGGAAAATAATATACATGGTTTTTCAAATAAATATTGAATTAGAAATCAAATAATTTCATTTTACATTTTAGCTACCAGGAGGAAATGTTTTCCTGGGCATTTCCTCATATATACTGTGTGCTGTGTACCTGTTCCTAATCAGTTGCAGATAACTAAGTTTTCCTCTGAATTTTAATTGTAAACAATCCATACATTTAGCTTATTCAATTAGGAAATCATGCTTCAAGGTTTATTTTTTTTGTGTGTGTGTGTATGTGTGTGTGTGTGTGTGTGTGTGTGTGTGTACCAGTGTGTGTGATTCATGTGTAGTACTTTTTAAGATTTTTATTTTGATATTAAGAGTAAAATACAGAATTGGAGGGGTGTAGTGATGGAATTAATGCTTTACCCAGGACTAAGCATTTGCCTAGGAAACATTCTGAAAAGCCAATCAGTGTGCACCAGCAACTAGCCCAACTTTCCTAACTTCTGTACAGCTGCCTGGCATTTGGCAATGGATGTGAATCAAATCTAGCCTTGTGAAGTGAGTAAAAGTCAAGTCTGAAATCTGATTCTTGACTATGAGAGAAAAAATATAAAAATGCACAACACACAATAAAATCTGAGTGAATTAAAGATGGATTTCATAAGATACTTTAACAGATGGACCATTGTATTTTCCCTAAGCCAGGCACTTGTATTCTACCCTGCTATTAGGAGTGGCAATGCTTTCGAGGGAAATTTGATTTTTTAAAAAATTACTTGGAATATTTACACAGTCTAAATTTCTATTCTTTTTCTTACCTGATATAATGGTGCATGTATTATTTTCTTAAATATTACATTTAATGTACATACAAATATAAATTAAAGTACAATGAACAAAATTATAAAGACAGTAAGAGCATAGAAGTAATTTCATGGTTAAAAAAAAAAGAAAAAGAGATCGGAATTTTCTACATCTAAATCCAAGGGAAATGGTGATGACAACATTGTGCTACAGTTTACAGTGTTTCATATTCTATGCATCTTCAGAGGCAGGCAAGAGAAGAGCCATATTATTATAAATATGAGAGATGTCTCTGCACAGTAGAAATATCATTGTACCAATCAAGGCTCCCAGATTCCCATAAGTTTTAACT